GAATGTCATTTGAGAGGTAGTTTGTAACCGACCTATCCCACCATATATCCCATAACAAGTATAGTTCCCTGGATATATAGTAATGCCTTCGTCTGGGCATAATATTTTTAGTAATGATTGGGTATTAAGTTTCCATGACTCGCATGCTGACCGCTTAGGTTTAAATACAGTGTAGAGACTTAAAACGCATACTTTATATCCGGAGGAAGGTTCAGGGATACAGTACCTGGGTGAGGCCTCGCTCCTCCGCAGACATAGCATTTAGACTTGTTATGTTTAGTAGCATTGTATGTCATCCATTCAAGTCACAAGTTAGTGTCAGAGAAACCTGTCTCTACAGCCCTAGTATCCTCAAATATGGGATGACTGCCATGTCTTTTAAAGTCCTAATGTGTGGTTTGAGGGGATTAACAGTCATGTGCGTGGCACCTAATCATTCAGCTGAGTCATACATGTCCTGTAAGAAAAAGGTCTCCTGTTTATTGTATAAACCTCTTCCCTTCCAATTCAGATTTTATTAGCCGTAATGCTTGGGAGAATAGATTCAAACTTAGTTTCTTACCTTAAAATCATTTGGTACACCCCTATGGCATATATAGATGAAAATTTATCCATACTTACCGTAATTTTCCTTTCCTGGTCATAGGCCATGGCAGCACAACAATGGTTAGCTCCTCCCTATCCCTAATTAGACAGGAACAGAATTAAAATCAGGGGTATAAATACCCCCTCCCACCAATGGTCCCTTAGTCTTGTTAACAGCAATATCCCAGGGCGGGATCTAAGTGCTGCCATGGCCTATGACCAGGAAAGGAAAATTACGGTAAGTATGGATAAATTTTCATCTTTCCTGGCCATATCCATGGCAGCACAACAATGGGTAATACCCAAGCAATAACCAAGGGAGGGAATAAAGAAACACAGACTCAAGAACATTTTAAATGCTGGTGTATTAGAAATCACACGTGCAATAGAAATCAATCAAGAAGAGCTGACTGCGGATAAGACTGATTTGCCAAAAGAGTCTGATTGGCTGGCTTTGACGTCAATCTGGTAATGCTTAATAAACGTGTTTGGAGAAGACCAAGTGGCTGCTTTGCAAATCAGCTCGGGTGACAAATTAGCAGCTGCTGCCCAAGATGAGGAAAGGGCCCTCGTGGAGTGAGCCTTTAGCCCCTCAGGAACCTTCATCTTTGAAGCTTGGTAAGCCTGAACGATGGCGGCAACAATCCATCTACTGATGGCCATCTTAGAAGCCTGAAGGCCTCTTCTGGGGCCGTTGGGGATGACGAATAGCCTTTGAGAGATCCGCCAGGCTGAAGATCTTTGTAGATAGACAGACAGACAACGAATAAGATCCAACGGAGAAGGCAGAGATTCATCATCCTCAGTAGGAGACTCTGAATGAAGAGCCGGGAGTACTATCTCTTCGTTGATGTGAAAAGCTGATACAACTTTAGGATGGAATTCGGGAACAGTTCGTAAAATAACTCTGTCCTTATGAAAAACTGTAAAGGGCTCTTTAGTAGATAAGGCATGGAGTTCAGACACTCGTCTGCCTGAGGCTAAGGCCACCAATAGAACCGTCTTAATGGTGAGTAACTGAGGAGAGATGGATTCAAGAGGTTCAAAAGGAGAATTGCTCAGAGCTTTTAATACCAAGGGAAGATCCCATGGTGGAGCGAAGGGCTTGATAGGAGGCTTGATTTTCAAAACTGCTGCCATAAATCTGATCACGTCTGTGTTCAAGGCCCATCTTTGGTCTGTAAGGGCCGAAAGAGCTGAAATATGTACCTTCAGGGTATTGTAGCTTAAACCCTTATCAAGACCGGATTGTAGAAATTCAAGGATCTCCTTGGTGGAGATAGACTGAATATTCCTGTGGTTGGATGCAGCCCAGGAAGAAAAAACGTCCCAGATTCTGTAGTAAGTGGAAGATGTAGAGCGTTTCCTTGCTTGCAGTAGAGTTTCAATGACCGAATGGGAAAATCCCTTGCAGTCAACCTTTCCCTTTCAATTTCCATGCCATCAGCTTGAGGGAGGCCGGGTCTGGATGGAGGACAGGACCCTGATGTAGAAGGGAAGGAATATTTGGAAGCTGCCAGGGGTCTGTGCTGCAGAGGCTCAACAACAGAGGAAACCACGGCCTGAAAGGCCAAAAGGGGGCTATGAGGATGATGGATACCTTCTCCTGCCTCAATCGTCTCAGAAGAGGAAAGATGAGGGGCGTAGGAGGAAATGCGTAACCCAGGTGAAATTCCCAATCGATTGAAAGAGCATCCCTTCCTGATGCTTGGGGATCGATGTTCTTTGAAAAGAAGTGTTGCACCTTCCTGTTCTTGCGCGTTGCCATAAGGTCGACTTGTGGCATGCCCCATACTTGAGAGATGTCTTCGAACACCTTGTTTGACAGACTCCATTCTCCTGGATCTAATTCCACTCTGCTCAGGTAATCCGCTATGGAATTCTGGACTCCCGGAAGATGGATCGCCGATAGGCCCGCTAGATGCTTCTGGGAGAAGGACATTAGGGGCTTCATAATGGACATCATTTTCCGACTCCTTGTTCCCCCTTGATGGTTTATGTAGGCAACTACAGTGGAATTGTCTGATCTGATCTTGATCCATTTGAAGCGAATGACGGGAAGGAAATTCTCTAGAGCTTTTAGAACTGCCAGAAGCTCTAATTGGTTGGAGGGAGTCTCTGTTACTGGAAAGGACCATTTCCCCTGGATAAACTGATCTTGCAGGTGGGCACCCCATCCCCACTGGCTTGCGTCCGTGGTAATAACTGTCCATGTGATGTTCCCCAATGGAAACCCTCTGAACAGGGCTTTCTTCTGTAACCACCAAATCAGAGATTGATGGACCTGAGGGGGAATCTTGATAGGCTGAAGCGGACTTTTCGATCTGAATTGAAGGATGAAATTCTTCTGGAAAATCCTCATCCTCCATTGGGCCCATCTTGTCAGTCCGATGGTGGAGGACATTGATCCTAATAGGCTCAAGCATTTTTCTGCTGAGGTCACATTGGATGCCAACATGTCTTTGACCTTGTTCGTCATCTTTGTACCTCTTTCTGGAGACAGTTGCACTGTGCCTGCTAGAGTGTTGAATATGGCCCCCAAATATTTCATCTCCTGAACCGGCTGTAATTGGCTCTTATTCTCGTTTATCTTCCAACCATGACGGCGTAGAAAACGTAGACAAACCTGCCCATGGGTCTGAAGGGTATCTGTGTCTTCTGCCAAGATGAGGATGTCGTCTAAGTAAATGGCTATGCCCTTTTTCCTGAGCTCCGCAATCAAAACAACCAAAACCTTGGAGAATGTTCTTGGAGCTGTGCTGAGACCAAACGGCAGGGCTCGGAATTGAAAATGCCCTTGTTCCACCGCAAACCGAAGGAATTTCTGATGTTCTGGAGCGATGGGGATGTGGAAATAAGCGTCTGCCAAGTCTATAGAAATCATCCATTGGTGTGGAAAGACGACCTTTATGATGGATTGAATAGATTCCATCTTGAACTTTCGGATGAGGAGATGCTGATTTAGTCTGCTTAAGTCTAAGATAGGTCTCCAACCACCTGAAGCCTTTCTGGTGAGAAACAGGTGAGAGTAAAACCCTTGACCTTGTTGTTGCTGAGGAACTGGAATGATGACATTTCCTTCCTGGAGTGTCGAGATGAAATCTTTCAAGGCCTGTCTTTTTGCTGCGTCTCCTGGCCATTTGGTTGTTTGAAAGGAGTAAGCTGGAGGGGGTCTCAAAAATTCTAAACGATATCCCCTTCTTATGATATCCAACACCCATCTGTCTGTGGTGGATAATTCCCATACGTCTTGGAAGAGTAACAGACGTGCCCCCACACCTACTGACTGGGGGGGGGACCAGTCATAAAGATCTGGGGTTCTTGTGGAACGAGGAGCCTCTAGATTTACCGCCTCTGGATGACTGTCCACCTCTCCAAGGCTGGGATCTTCCATGCTCTCTTCCTGGCTTGTAAGATCTGGCATCTCGAAAGGAAGAATAGTCTGGATATCTTTTGGATCGAAAGGAACCTCTGGGTTTACGATCCTGCGGGAGAAAAGCTCTTTTGCCTTCGGCTGCTCTCTTAATACATTCATCCAAGTTTTTTCCAAACAACATGTCGCCGTGGAAAGGTAAGGCACATAAACTAGATTTAGAAGAGGTATCTGCTATCCAGGACCTTAACCATAAAGCCCTTCTGGCTGAAACGGAGAGGGCCATATTTCTGGCAAAGGCCTTAACCAGATCCACCGAAGCGTCAGACGTAAAGTCTACTGCAAGTTTTATATCTTTTAGACTTTCCAGGAGACTGGATCTGCTCCTGCCTCTTTGGATGTCTGCCTCTAGATTTTCCATCCAGATCTTTAAAGCTCTGGAAACTGAGGTGAGAGCGACTGCTGGATGGAGGCCTGTGCCTGCAGCCACGTAAGCTTTGGCGAGGTTCAGATCCATCTTTCTATCCATGGGATCTCTGAATGAACCTGCGTCGTCAACCGGTAGAGTAGTGTGTTTGGCCAGTCTTACTATGGCCGCATCTACCTTAGGAGCCGAATCCCAACAGCTGGAGTATTTTCTCTCAAATGGATAAAGACGAGCAACTCTGCCTTGAGAGGTCAGTTTTCTACGAGTATTTGACCACTCGTCTTCAATCAATTCCTTGATTGTCTCATGAGCTGGAAACGTGGCTCTCTTTTTCTTCAGGTCAGCAAAATATCTACTGGAAGTGGAAGGTTGCTCAGAGGAAATTTCCTTGAGACTCAAGGATTTGCGCACTCTGGATATTAAATGATCAACTTGAGCAGGCTCCATGAATTCTGGGGCAAAAGATTCTTCTTCAGAGGAGGATAGCCCATCCCTGTAGGAGTCTACAGACTCATCTGAGGATTCTTCCTGAGAAAACCCCAAGGGTTCAGTGAATCTTGGCCTCTTGTGGGACTTCCCAGCTTCTCTGATGCCCTGGCAGACCGCCTGCTTGATAAACTCCATCATATCTGGAGTAGGGGCAGTAGAGGAAGTGCCTGCGGCTGTAGAGAGGCATTCTGCACAGAGACGTTTGCCTTCCAGTGGTTTATTGCTGCAGGCTTCGCATCTCTTCTTCATAGGCGACTTGCCTTTGGAAGTTCTGGATGCTTTAATTCCCGTAGAGCTGACATAATAGGGAAATATAATTAAACCAGGCACTCTTTTGTTTGGTATAGATAGAGAGAGGGAAAAATAATGGCTTACCTATAACCTATGGATTGTGACCTTTGTTTATGAATGGAAGCCTCAGAATCTGATGAGAAAGATTTGTCCATCTTCCCTGTCATAATATAGGAAGGAATTGAAATATTTATACCCAAAAAAAGCATAAAAATTAAATCTTTGAAAAAAAGGGGAATGTGCCTTTAAGAAATAAACCCATACCTGAGTTACAGAAAATTGGAGGCTTGAAAAATCGAACAAAACTGGAACAAAAGATGCTGCAAGAGCTCCCCAGAGTCCAGGTAACCTGAAACAGGTAAGAAAATTCTAATTTGGCGCCTATTTAAAGGTGGCGAGTGACATCACCGATGACGTCACCGCGAACCCGGAAGAACACTCCGCGCATGTGCACAAATACTCCGCGCATGCGCGGAAGTCCGTGTGACGTGCCCCCTAATCCGCGCATGCGCGGAGGCGTCCCAGACGCAGCCACCAGTCCGCGCATGCGCGGAAGAAGCTATTAAGCAGGCCGCCGGACCGCGCATGCGCGGGAATGACGCGCCCACGGTTCGCGCAGGCGCAGAGCACCAGGAGGACGCCGACAAGATGGCGGCAAGCCCGGTAAAATTAAAAAGGGAAAAGGGGAGAGAGAAGAGGAAAAGAGGAAAAAACAATATATATATATACAAAATCCTATGGCACAAACAAAGAGGTGGAAGGGGGAAAAAAACCTGACAGCCATAAGTAAAATAATACATAAGAAATGCATTAAAACTTACTGTGCCTGCCAGGTAAAGGTAAGAAGAATCTTCTGTAGATGAGGTTCTTCTGCCACTTCCTGCTACAGCTTGGTTACTGCAGGGAATGTTCCTTACTGGCAATATTTGCTTGCTACCCCTAGGGTCACTGCAAGTGGCTCCCGGTCACTAAAGGAGCATCTCCAGGGGGATATCCTTTGCGCAGGGCCACGTACTGGAGACTTCCCAAGGAAGAGAGGCTGAACTCCCTTGAGGCCGAAGGTAAAAACCCTCAGGTAAGCCAAAAAGAAAAGAGTATGTTCACAGTCTATAATGACTGGAGTCCTATAGGGATAGGACAGGAAAAAAAAGACTAAGGGACCATTGGTGGGAGGGGGTATTTATACCCCTGATTTTAATTCTGTTCCTGTCTAATTAGGGATAGGGAGGAGCTAACCATTGTTGTGCTGCCATGGATATGGCCAGGAAATATATATATATATATATATATATACACACATATATATATATATATTTTTATATATATATATATATGTGTGTGTGTGTGTGGGTAAAACCACCCTTTATAGGGGTACTCCTTTTTGTCCTGAAGCATGAATGAGGTGTGTCAAGAGTACCTTGGGGATTGTCATGTGTTATGTGTGTGGACATAATAACCTTGGCTAGGGCACATTTTCTTATTCTTAATCTTAGAAATCTTGTCTCATGCTACCCTAGTACTGACAGATTCAGATCATTTAAACATTCAATATTAATATCACCACAAACTCCAGATAAGCAGATGATCCTGAAGAAGCTTTGACTGTGCGTATGGCACCTCAGACGTGAGGGCTGCAGGGTAAAAAGTATGTCTGTTTCTCTTTAGTTTCACAAGGTCCCCTTTTGGGGTATTCGGCTTTCCATTGATGGCAGGTGGTCAGGCATTATTATGGCCATCAAAACACCCACTTGTTGATATTTATTTATTTTTAACAAGTATCTTTGTTCTCTAAGAATGGAGTTTCAAAAAGGGTTGTCAAGATCAACAAATGCTACTTCACATGATGCAGAGGCAGGCTTGATTCTGGAATGAGGAATCCACGGGGTGATCTCTGTAACTTTCACGGTGCACTACTCAGCATGTGGTCTTGGTTATCACTTTGGTGGCTGGATAGGCCTCTGGCCATCCTGAAAACATGTCTGCTATAATTAGTGCATATTTGAATCAGCCACTCTTTGGCATTCTGGATGTAGTCGACTTGACTCCTCTGGAAGAGATAATGAGGTTTGGCTAGATGCTTGGGGCTTTCCTCCATTCTTCCTGAGTTGCCCTTGGCACAAATGGCACAAGATTTACAGTAACTGTTGGTCAGAGAGGCTATTCCTGATACTTCAGAGTATTTATTGATCAAAAGAGTTCATGAGGGTTCTGGACAGATGCTCCGTAGGCCCACTGGACCACTGCTGAGTATATGTTCTTGGGCAAGCAGAACTTGAGATTGTTGAAGTACAGCCTGTCTATAAGGGTTGCCCCTTTCTGTTTCCAGCTTGTGGTTTTTTGTTTTTTTTTTTCTTTCCAGGGTCAGTAGCTGCTTGTTATTCCTTCAGGAGCTTTATGTCTGTGGGTAGGATCTTACATGGTGAATATGGGAGACACTTTTCTGTCCACTTCCCTTAGTGCACTTACAACTTCTTGAACAACTTGGTCAGCCAGAGAGTTGCCACATGCTTCCTCTGAGTTCAGTCTTCTTTCAGAGATCTTGCATGCTGTGATGGGAGCCTATAGCTCAGCTTCTTGTGCAGACATTGTTGAGGTGAGATACTTGGTCCACTGTAGTGACAGCAAATCCGGAACAGATCATAAGGAAAAGGCTAAAAAAAATAATAGTCAGTGTCTTATCATTTCCCCCCCTGGGAAGTGGCAGAAGAGTGGTCAGGTAAATAGAGTATCATCCCTGCAGGGTGACACTATCCTGCACAGAATTCGTCCATCACAAGGAGAGGTGGGATATTGCATGGAAAGTCTCAGGGAACCAGGGCACCATTCGACACCAGAGCCTTAACCTGTTAGGGAATAGTAAGAGATTGGACAGGCTTCGGGGCCTGTATAATTCAGGTAAAGGTATTGGGGGGACTAGTTAGGACCCTTGCTTCTTGGTCAGGTTTCACTGTGTGGAACAAAAGAAATAATAAGGTGATAGGGGCCTGCAAGTGGGGGAAGGACATCTGCACCTAGCAGATTAATAGGACAGGTGGAGGCAACCACAAAGCAAGGTTTAGTTAACAGGCTACTCCAAGGAGAGCCATCTACACTTGTGCAGGAGACAATAATATTAGACGGGAATGAGGAGTCAGGCAGGCCGTGCTTGCTACAAATAGATGTCATGTGGCCTGCTATACAAGGCTGCATGTAGTTGTTGGGTATGGGCCTTATTATGTACTAAAACTTAAGTTAAAAGAAAATTTGGACAACCTGAAGTGATACTTCTCCACAGATGCTAACTCATCGTTGATGACATTGTTAATACAGGTAGCCTGATCAGCCAATTTATCTGTGGCTTAAACAAGTCACACCATGTAGTGGAATGGGTCATTAGGATTCGGGCAATTCTACAGTAAAAGGGCATAGTAAGGATGGACGCGATGTTACTTTAGGAGTAGGCATGGCTGTGGATAGGGGGAAATCAGCCTTATCCATTCCCATATATTATTCCTTTTGTCTTCAGCATATCCAAACCATGTGTATGTCCAGGCGTTGCAATATATAGTAATCCATTATTAGTCATGATATTAAAATCTCATTCTCATGAATTAAATCAAAGATTTTAAATCAACCTCAGAAGCAAAAAAGAATAAATCTATTGTTTTTTTCCTTCTGTAAAATGATTGGAGTTACTGTATAATAGCATACAACCAATATAACATACATAAAAACAATGAAAAAAACAAACAAAAACAATAAAAAAAACAGTACAGACTAACAAGTTAGTAAACAAACAAACACATATCTCTATTCTTGTGCTGGTTTTAACTCTAGAATCAAATATCTGCAAGATCTTAAATAATGTGCACCAAACACAAATAACTTTAGTTATATTCTGCCGTTGAGGCAATTGGGAGTGGCTCAGGCGTCTATATTGCTCTTTCACACTGAGTTCTAGGGGGGAAAAGGAGGGGGGTCAAATCTGCACTTCTCTCTCTGCGTCTAACAAGTCAGTGTAACCCCTTCATGTCTGGATACCTCTTTACTTTATCTAAGAATAAAGCAACTTCCTTCAAAGTACTTTTTTTCTCTAGCAATTACAATTGCAGTTGAATCTAGATCTTGACATTTTTTCACAAATTCATTAATTAACTGATCCTCAGGAAACCCCGCAGATTTAAGTCAGCAATTGGCTTCCCATGAGGCTAGATTTACAGAGCAGGATCACCGTATGGATCAGATAGCTCAGGCCCTCCAGACACTCTTATCTAGAACTACTCCGGTAACAGTACCAACTCCTCCTGCACCCCTTGTCCCAGATGTATCCACCATGCCTAATGCTTCTGCACATTTAACCCCTCCACCCAGGTATGGAGGCAGGGCTCGAGTCCTGCAGGAACGCATGGGAACGGCGTTCCTGCACTTTTTCCAAAGCAGGAATGCCGTTCCCGTTACCTATCCTGCAGGACCGGCCCTGCTACCTGCACAGAGGGGCCTCCAGCTATAACTCTCACGAGACCCGTGGCTGTTACCATGACAACGCTCTGCACAGGCGAGTCTCGCGAGAGTTAGAGCTGGAGAGGGAACACAGCGTGTGATGGCTCCTGTGTGCAGCGGCTGGCTCCCTCCACCGGACCACCAGGCCATCTCCCCCCTCCCTGACAAGGTAAGAAGCAGGGAGGGGGGAATAAAATAAAAATTATACATAAAGTAAAAAAATGTCCCCCCCCACATCATCCAGCACTCACACACCCATCATCCAGCACACACACATCATCCAGCACTCACACACCCATCATCCAGCACACACACATCATCCAGCACTCACATCACACACACACATCATCCAGCACACACACATATCATCCAGCACTCACACACACACACATCATCCAGCACACACACACACACATCATCCAGCACACACACACACACATCATCCAGCACACACACACATCATCCAGCACTCACACTCACACATCCAGCACACATCATCCAGCACCACACACACGTCATCCAGCACACACACGTCATCCAGCGTGCACACACACGCCATCCAGCGTGCAC